TTGAGAAAAGGAATTACAAACAAAAAAAAACCAATCAGAAACAAAGCCAACCCTAGTTCAAAAAGGGGCGATTTAGCCCCACTCCAAGCCATGCCATTTTCCGCTAAAATTTCTCTAGCCCTTCTTCGAAGTTTTCTGTGATCGCCTATGGTAAATATGCAGATGAAGCTGGGACGTTTCTGCATAGATGAGTTTTTTGATCACAATTAATCTGTTCAAATGTTCCGCTGGTCATCAGTCGTTGTGAATGTTTCCGTATGCATTTTCCTCATTTGCCACTGTGATGAGTAGCCAGTGTAGCTTGATTCCAGCCCTCAAATCCACATTTTTTCGCTTTAATTTTTTCGACAAGTATCCTTTGCACGACATTTATCAGTATCCTTCTGTACTTGTTCAATTTAAAGCATCATTGAGTCGATTTTGACAATCCCTGAGCTCCAAAGAGCTTGGCCATTGAGAGCAGAACCTCTTTCGCCAACTTTAGAGAGCTCCATCCCCAACACTACTATGTAAGTTGTAGGAATCCAACTAAATGGTAGATTACCGCTCAATATTGCGTATTATAGGCCAGCACAACCTCTTATTGAAATCAGCTCAACTCAAGGTCTAACCGCTCGATTTCTACCTCTTGGTGCCACATTAGTGTCCCTTTTCGTAAGAGATCGCGACTCGAATCCCATAGATGTTGTTCTTGGATTTGACGATGTTAAAAGTAAGTTTATTTCTAGAAAGTAGTATATTAAACATTCTTCTAATGAAGTAGTTCAGAAAATGTTTTATTAAATTTTCTAACACAGACCGAGTTAAGGTTACCAGGAGGACACAGCTTACATCGGAAAAACAATTGGTAGGGTGTGTAACCGAATCGGCTATGGCCGCTTTACATTCAGAGGAAAAGAGTATAATCTTCCTATTAACAACCCACCACATAGCTTGCACAGCGGACCACAAGGACTTGCTTTGGTAGGTTTTTCTTTTGCATCTTTGTTTCGTAAAAATATGTAAATAAAATTTTTAGAAAGAATGGGAAGTGATACGTCGAACTCCAACGTCTGTCACATTCCGAATAAGGACGGATGAAGCAAAAGATGGTTTACCCGGAGATGCAAACATCGATGTGAACAGATGATTTTCATAGAAAAGCAAAGTATAGGGTTATAGATGGCTTACTGTAGGTGACTTACACCGTAAACGATCGAAATCAACTGGTCATCGAGCACGGAGCTACTTGTCACAGTCCCGGCGTTCTTAATCTCACAAACCATATATATTGGAATTTAGATGGAAGTGTAGGTTT